TACTCACAATGGCAATACAAATCGATGCCCTATTCTGACAGTATAGCCTTATTATGCTAGATGGTAAAAAACTTCTTCTATATCTTTCTTTCTTTGTTTTAGAGGTACATATCTGCGGCTGCATGATTTAACAACTTGCGTGGAAAGGGGTGCTATTGATCGTTTATAGTGCTTCTTATCTTTTGTATATTTGTGTTGTTATACATTTCATCAATTTAAATCATATTCAGAGATCTTGCTGGCTTTCTTAATGGTTCTGTCGAATTTTTCTTTATCTTTTGCCCTACAATTCGCAGCCCAGCTGCAAAAACAAAATAATAGCACACTTTCAATCATAGAATGGTATAAAAGCGGCAAAATCTTATTATCGACACGAAAACTTCTTAATTTTCTTAAAAGGAACATTCTTTGATTTACTTTTTTAGGCACAAGAGCAGCGCGAGGATGCTAGTCAAGCTTGTTATCAATTGTCATTCCAAGATACTTGTAAGAGCTTACCACGTCCACCTCCTCATCTTTAATAAATAGTGTTGCATTTGGGTTTTTTTCACTCTAAAGTCTATTTTTGTCTTTTTTGTATATTTAGTAAAAGCAAGTGATCGTCACACCAATTTGTAAATACATTTACAGCGTCCCTGTATTCATTCTCGTTTGTTGTTGTAAGGCCTTGTAAAAAGTGGAATCATTCGAAAATTTGTATTAAGTTGATGTTTTTGTTCTCAAAAGTACAGTAGTTGGTGTAGAGCGTAAACAAGACAGGAGAGATTACACAACCGTGGGGCGCGCCGGAGTTCGTGAATTTCAGGTGGATTTTACACCATTAACTTTACATATTATTGAGGTCGATTGGTTAAGAACCCAAGAATCCAAGCCCTAATGTTCTTGCTTATGATAGAAAGACAGACACGCAGGCACACAGATAGGCAAACAGACAGGCACACCGACGGACAAACGGGCCAACCCCCCCCCCCTCTGTTGGTAAACCTTTTCGCCCTTCCAGTCCAACCACTGGAGGAGTTCCCGTTCCACGACTGTAACTCCTGTGAGTGGAATGGCCCATAGAACCTTGATCAATGTTTATCAACCAGCGCCCACTTTTGCCTCCCTTAAATCTGCTGACATCAGCTCATCTACTGACTGGAGGCACATTATTTGGGAGGAAGAGGGAGGGGGGGTTATTGATGTTTGTTTATTTTTGTTGTTTTTGTGCTTTTGTTTGTTTTGGGGTTGTTGTGTTTGGGTTTTTTTTGTGCTTACCTTTACACAAACGCACATTCAGAGCTTACTTCAACTCTCTCTCTCTCTCTCTCTCTCTCTCTCTCTCTC